AAATTAAAACATTAAGTCTATGGAGCTAGGGAAAAGTTGATCTGTTGGTTATGTGTTACAGGCTTAAAAATTCCATTCTTTACCCAGGAAATATTTAGTGAGGGTTATGATGATTTCTGCCTTTCAGAATATTCTTGGGAAATTTACTAGGTACAGAAATATCAAAGTAAACAGGACAATTTCAAACCTAACAGAAAAAGTAAACATTAAATATTACCAATGTTAAGAGAAGTGTAAAGGAAAAGTACGAATCCTATATAGTGAATGGGTATGTTCATCAGTTTGGGATGTGGCCCCAACTTTCTCCATCCCCCAGATGTATAGATGAGCAGAGCACTATGGCACACATAGAAAGCTATTACAGGGTACATTACATGTAGATAACAATAGCTTATCTGTATGATGTTATATACTTTCTATAGTACTTCCCTGTTTCTCATCTGATATTCACCATTATATGTTACAAAGAAGATACTATTCTCTCAATTAAAGGTTGAAGAGACTAAATTAGTTGAGAGGAGTTAAATGCTATTTTCAAGATCAGAAACTTAGAGAGGAGTGGAGCTGACAGTGGGTCTTAATGACTCCATGATCAGTAATCTCTCCATATTCTCCTCTTGGGGCCCCTCCCCCTCCATTTCTTCTAGTATCAACTGCTGTTTACATATATTTGATGAGAAGAAAAGGGTGAATATAGTGAGTATATTTGTGATAGCAAATGTGGCAGTCCTTTAAGGACTATCAGATTGGCTATAAAAAGAAAATTTATTGGCTTAGCATTTATTTGTCTATTGCAAATGATATTCAACTCCCAAGATATCCCTTCCGTTTTTTTACATGCTAATCCCACTTCATCCTTGGAGATTCAGCTCAAGTGTGCCTCATTCAGGAAGCATTCCCAGGTCATTCTTCTAAGTCTCTCTTCTCCTTTGCTGAGCTCACACATCACATATACTTACTTCTCTGTCTTCTTTGAGGAGGATGAACTCCTCAGAGCAGGTTCCATGCCTCATCCATCTTTAGTGTCTAGTATAGTAGTATGGTGAGGGGTGGGGAGAGAAAGAGGAAGAGGAAGAAAAATAGAGAGAGAAGGAATATAAGAAAGAAAGAGAGAAAAGGAAGGAGATGGTATTACACAGTGCCTTCCTAATTACTTTAAAAAGTTCAGTTTTCAAGTTACATTCTTGAACTCCATGAGAGAAATAAACTCCAAAGAAGTTCTTTAAAATCCTAATATACCCAACTCATTTCTTTTATTTACAGAAAATTAATAGCTGCCTTACCTGTGGATTAAAGTCAGCAGTTGATGAATAAGAATAGTTTAAAATCACATATAGCTCTGCAAAAGGAAGACAGCTAGACTAGAAGTTAGGATATATGGGTTCTAAGTTTCACTTCATAGCTCTGGATCTCATTCTTTGTAATCAGAAGAGTTCTGTACTAGGAATTTCAAAGGTCCCTTCTGGTTTAAAACATTGTATGATGAAAACAAACTTTTATGGGGGGTATGGAATAAACCAAAAATGTACCATATATTATATAAGCAAGGGGGAGAAATCAGATTATAATGATACAGTTAGACAAAACTGAAGTCCCCAATATACCTAATATTGCGGAAAAGAAAGGCTCTTTATTCCAGATGGCTAATTGAATCAAAGAGTTGTGTGAATGCACATGAAAATGGCATGCATAGACATAAACTTGGTACTAAATAAATCAGAATAATCATGAAGCTTTTTCTCATGTAAAAACTTCTATTTATAAGCAAAGATAAAAGAGTAAAGGACAGAATAGAGATAAAGGAGCACATGTGATTCATTTATATACTCAAGGTTCATGGCTTTTAATGACAGATGAAAGGAAATTATTTTTTTCTTGGATATATTACAAGCTATTTGTAGAGACTGAATACTATTTCAGTTAATTTGTATAGAAGCTTCTACTCTTGCTACTAAAAAAGGCTTTTTTTTTTTTTTTTTTTTGCAGTCTGACTTTTAACAATCAAAGAGATTAAATAGAGCATATGTTGAGACTATCCATCTTTGGCATCCCAACTGTCTTCTCATCAAAAAAAAAAAAATCATATCACATAAATAACACATTAGTGGCTGTATCTCTTGCTTGATGAAACTTTTTTCTTTTCCAAGGAGCCCTATCTCTCCGGCATAGAAAATCTGGGGCAAAGGGGATGAAAGGATACTGGACACAAAATCAATTCTTTTTCTCTTTAAGATACACATACGGTGAAGGAAAGAAAAAGATAGCAGATTAGTTAACCATCAAAATGCCGGAACCATAATGGACAAATGCTATTATTATTATTATTGTCAGTAAATCTGCACCAAATTCCTTAGCTGTTAATAGAGGTGTAGGTAAATGTTGTTAGGAGCAATCCTGAGAAATTACAGCAAAGCAACTACATATTGTTTATACCCTATCAGTAATAAACCAGCACAAACTGAGGGCAGAGATTCCAGTTGCTGCTAAAACAGTTCTATCCTTGACCTTGCAGGTCAGGGTCAGAGCCATAGAATAGCCAAGGAGGTTTAAAGGTTGGAGACATTACATAAAGATCTGGTATTTTATAAGACAATATAAAATATTGTCTTATAAAATTAAAATAAATTATGGAAGATCATTTATTCAGCAACAGATAAATGGAGGTCAAAAGCAACATTGGGAAGGATATGTTGAATTTGGCTTACAATGAACAGTGTCTTGGGAAAGTTGTCATTCTTGTCACAAACTGCAAAAATGTGACTCGACTATCAATCATTCCATAGCCCACATATGGACTGTCCTTCATTTTCTAAAAGCTATGAAAATTACAGATGGCAACAGCCTTCAAGAAACTAAACAGCAACTTAGTAATGAGGTGTTTGAAGGAATCATGTTGAGACAAACCAGGCTCCAGATAAATCAATGTATTTTTACTTATTGTTGAAAAGTCCCATGACCAGATTTTTTTGACAGCAGAGAGAACCTGTAACATTTCTAGATGAGTGTTTTCTAAGAGATGGTGAATAGAAAGTCTTTTTTTTTTTCTCCCAGGAAGCCAAACACCAATCTTGCCTAAAAAAACAAACAAAAGACTTCGTATCTAGTAGGAGATTTTGGGAACTAAGAATGTTTTCATTTCTCTTTGGTTTCTAATTTAGAAAAACTCAGCATCAGTTAATGGGGTGCACTTTAAGTAGAAAGCCTAAGAATATGCTTGTATTATGTAGAAAAAAACATCCTAGTGTTTTACCTTAGTAAGATTCACAATTCAGACATGCATGATAAGGTCCTAAATTCAACCACCCTCAGACTAACGCTGATACTCGAGCTCTATATTTTGTGACATCTTGATGTATTTCAATATATGAAACAGTATTCATTAGGCTAAAATTTCTTGAGAAAATCACCTATAGATTTGTAGTGAATTTTTTTTTCAAGACTGACTCTTCTCTCTTTTTCAACATGCAGCAGAGTTCAGAGAAGATTACAATGAACATCTGTATACCCATCACCTAGAGTCTACCATTAACACTTTACTTGCTTTATCATCCATCCATCTGCCTATCCATCCCTCTAGGTATCAATCAATCCATCTTATCTTCTGATGCATTTCAAAGTGCATTGTAGACACCAGAGCACTTTCCGCCAAATATTTCATCATGCATATCATTAGCTGGAGTTCGATGTTTGTTTACAGTTTTAGTCTTTTGACACAAAATTGACAGTGAAAAGAACACAGCTAAAATGTGCATTCTTAGTTTTGAAAAATGCATGCATTCATGTTACCCCAACTCCTAGCAAGACATCAAACATCCCCATTATTGCAGAAAGTTCCCTAATGCGCCTTCAGTATATTGTTGCGAGTATCAGCACTTTGTTCTTTTTTATCGTAGAGGGATATTTTGTTATGATTATACTACAATTTATTAATTCTCCTGTTTATGGACTTGAAGGCTGCTTCCGATTTTTGACTGTTATTAATAACGCTGCTGTAAAATTCCTATGCATGTGTTTAGAATCTCACTCCATTACAGGTATTCTCAGTCTCGTCCCACAAAACTAACGACCCATTTTCTTTATGTGGAAGACTGTGCACTTCTGGCCACAAAATAAGTTTAAATTTCAGGCCCTGCTTCTTGGACTTGATGGATTCAGTGGAGTGTTTCTGTTTCTGTTTTGTTTTGTTTTGTTTTCCATTGAACATTTGAGCACAGATGGAAAGAATAAAGAAAAGGAAGTAATGACCTTAGGCATATTCTTGAAGTGTGAACGCACTGTTTTCTTCTAATAACTTATATGTGAAATGCCAGTTTGCAACTCTAGGAGAAAAAAATAGAAGCATTGCTGTATAATCTCTATACTTCTTCCATAAAGATTGACTGTGACTTAAAATAGCCTAGGGTTATTAATGCTGTAAATCTCTCTGAAAGAGATTTCAGTGCTTGTTCTTCTTGCTCTCAAAAAAAAAAAAAAATGCAGTGTACCATAGATCTCACATAAATGACACAATTTCAAACTCTATCAAGATTAGACTTTTACTAATGCTTGGGGCTAAAATGAATTATGGAATTCTTAAATATTTCTCTAACCAAATGTGCTGAAACAAAACTTTCTGCTACAGAAAGACCATTTCAAATGGCTCCCTGAACACTTGAAGCTTTGACTTCTGGAAGACTACACAAGAATGAGGATTATATTATTGAATTAGTTCTTCAAAGGAATTAGAAACAACTAATTATACGTGATTCTAAGTTACAGGGTGGGGTGGCTAGGAGTGAGCATAAAGATTCCATCTAAATTACCAAGTTTTACGTCAAGAGTTATTATGATGCTATCTAAAATTTTCTTTTCTGGAACCCATTACTACATGAACATACAATTGGAAACTCTGTGTACATGAAACAAATGATTCCTCTTAAACACAGATTTTAAAAAAATAAAATACATATAGAAAGAGGGTATACGTTTATTCCATCCATTTTTAAAAACAATTCAGCTATGGGGCTATTTCGTCTCTATCCATTCATCCGCAATAGTTCGTTTCGAAGACTTCTGTGTTTTTCAGGAAGGCAAATGTACACTATAAGGTATTACAAAGAAAAGGAGATAAAGTTGTATTATTAGGTTAATATCAAGAAAGTTATATGTATGTGTAATGTACATAATCCATAGAATGATAAAAATTAATAATAAGCTTACTGAAGTGAATATCATACCAGCATTTGATATGACAGTAATAGCAGATCCTTTCAAAATTTTATTCTTACTATGTTTCTTTTAGATTATAACAGAACAGGGCCAATGGGCAATGTTTCCTTAGCTATCTAGGTCAGGAAAGCCATCTGGCACTCATTTTAATCACCACGAGAGCCTTGAAGGAACCCAATAAAGGCTGTACTAATATTCCAATCTATTCACTAATGGTGATAATCAGAACATCTGGTCAGGGTTTTCCTTTACAAAGGTCTCCTCCAAGGATTATATGAGGTAGTGAAGCTCCTATTGAGCAGTGATGACTATCAACAACAGCTTCCCACACCCATCTTTGCCTGGCTCTAGCCTGACTGACCATCTTGTCTTTGCCTATGGCCCAAGCCAATCTACATTCTAAATATAGTCTGAGTGTTTATAGGCAGCATGCCATCCACGGATTCTAAGAAGCAACCTCAGCCTCCACTATTGTTGCTCTAAGTTTGTGGCTGTTCATAAATGATTTACGTAGACTCTAAGTTCTTTTAGTCTGGACACTGTCTTGGGTTCCTCCTGTTATACTGCTATTGTTCAGCATCCACTTCGGTAGCTCACCCTTAACTCTTTAACCTCCCCAGTGTATCTTTTCTCTGTTTCCTTCCAGACTTGAGGTATTGTTTCTCAAAAGCCCCTTGATTCCTTCCTCTTCTGTACATCTCTTGACCTCTCTATATTAGACCCAGTGGTTTTAGATTTATCTCTACTTTAGCCAGCGCAAATTTTATGTATACTAGAATAATAACTGGACCAGAAATCTGAGATATATGGACCCTAATTTGGACTTAACTCTAATTAGCATTGCAATCTTCTGGGATCGCCAGGGATTTTTATTCATTTATACCATGGAGAAAGCATCTCTCCAAGTTTGCTTCTAGTTCCAACATCCTATAATTTTGTAAATATCTTTATGATGATAATAATTAAAATCTACCATCTGCTAATATCTAGATTCAGTCATGTTCAGAATTTCTCAGTTATGAGGACCATCCCCAAATAAATGAGACTATCTAGTCAATAGAGAGATTATCTGCCAGTTCTCAGCATGGTTGCAGAAAAGAGATACCTGGGAAACTTTTACAGAATCTATTGCCTGGGGCCCATTCAGACCAATCAAATCTAATGACTGAGAGCAGGGCATATGTATCGCATAAAAGCTCACACATGTAATTCTAATGTACAGCTGAGATTATGAACTACTATACTAAGCAATATGAGTCATTTTATTGGACACAGATTCTAAAAACAACCATTTCAAGGGGGTGAATCAGACAAAGTATTTCCTGGAACAACACAGGATATTAATAAATAAGTACATGAATTCAAGAAGCAAATTGTCCTGTCAGCACAGACAAATCTTACCCTTTAGAAAACATCAATATAATGACTTTTGGCCCCAAACTCTCTTATATATACATAGGGTTGATCTAAAAGACTCACAAACCCTTTAAATATGACAGAGATGCTTCCCTTTTGGAAATTGTTGCATTTCCCTTAATAAGCTGGTAACATATATTCTTCTGAGTCAAGAGTTCAGCAGAATTCTGCTTGTGGTGCTAACACTACAGACCGGCAGACAGTGTTGACCAGGTAGATCGTCTGGGTTTACTTGCCTGATGACGAATTAATCTCATTACCTTTCCACACTCCTGCTGGTAACAATGAAATTTCACACGTATTCACACAACTGTGAAATAATAAGAGTGAAGGACAAAGCCCACGAGTGAGGCAAAATGGAGAACAGAAGTAATCACCGTGTATTACCCCTGCAAAAATCAATAAAGCAAATATGTTCTTTTTAAGTGTCATATTACAATAATGTTTTTTTCTGAAGACTGTTGTCTGCATCCAGCTTAAGAAGGCATCTGCTTGTGTTTGCTTAAAACAAAAGGGTGGTTGACTTAATGAATTATTTACAGGCAGGCAATATGGCAACAGTGTCATTACGAACTCTCTTCTAAGATCTCCTCTGGCTACTCCTGGCGGGGTGTCAATTTGCTTGTTTTTATGGTAGGTGCACGAAGATTGTGAAGCTATTCAAAGAAATGAGATTCTGCCATTGCACTTACTAAGGCACACAAACCCAGTAAGAAAGCCATAGTGACAAGAATGGCAGAAACATTTATTAGGCATTAAAATGTGTAATGTAGAGCTCATGGAAAGAAGGAACTATTAGAATTACATAAAGCTGAGCGCAGCCTTGAAAATAGGCCCCAAGCCTAAAAGAAATCAGGACAGGCCTGTAAGAGGACCTGAGGAGGAAAAAAAAAAAAAAAAGTATACTCTGCGACTTCTTTCTTTTTTCTGTGATGTATACTACCTACCTCTCGGGATCTGCACGGCAGGGGAGGAGTGGGAGTGCTTCTGCATCACATGATGAAGTAGAAGAAATTAAAAATCAACTTTGGAGTTTTAAGAAACCAAAATAAAAGGCTTAAAAGGAAAAATTATGGACACAAAGTAACACAACATAGTAAAATCTATTAGTTTTAGAACATCCTATCAATCCCAAATTTGCTAAAACTTCCTTCTATAAAACCAGAATCTCTAGACAGACAGCCTATTAAGGTGATGGTCAGAAGCAGGTCAAATTCCAGGGGAGGCCAAAAAGAACACACTTCACAGAGGAGATTATAACCTTCCTTCAGGTCAGAACTACGTGAATGTGGCTCAATGCTCTGACGATAATCACTCATCAGCGAGACTGGCTGATGGAGTGACTTGATGAAACAGAAATTTCAGTTTATAAAAATATCCCCGGGACAAGATTTTGTAAACTAGAATCAGTTACTATGGGTAATTTCTTCCCCATGAGCCCACAGTGCCAGTCTCCAAATTTAGGAAAGAGGCTATGAAGAGAATGAGTAGGAGATGTAGTTGTGTATTTACACCTTCAAAACTCTGGTGATTGCCAGCAGTGTGCTGGGCCCCATGCTAAGCCTGGAACATTCAATGGTGAGCCAGGCCTCCATCCTCCCTGCCTTCATGGACCTTAGAGTCTAGGAGAGAATTTTTGTTGAAACCTCTGAGGGGCTTTCTGTGCTAGGGATTCTGGTGGAAAACTAGTACGTTTATCTTCAAATGCTTATTATACTGTGAGGGTCATAAATGTGTATAGCTATTTTTTTTCCTATTTGAATCAAGGACACGGTCAAAATAGTAGATTTTTCTTACGAACTCTTTGAAAGACAAACTCCTAAATGCTGATAAAAATGTGACCCAAGTATGATCAAGCATCACTGATATCGAATGCTTGAGCTACACGACCTCTCAAGATGGCGCAAATAGCTTCTATCGTAAAAAATAGCGGCTGTGAGCTACAAAGCCCTCTGGTAGGATTGCAGGACCAGCACACACATTCAGATTGTAGCTGGAGTATTTTCCAGTTTGAAGGATGGGAGAATTGGGCAAATCACCCCCTTCCCACCAGGAGTGAGGACTTCTCTGACTAACAGCTTTGAGACTCTGTTCAAAGGAAGTAAGAAATGAGTAATCACCAAGCCAGTGAGTAGGACTGATTAATTTGCTCTGGCCCTAGTCACAGATCAAATTCACCAGAAAATTGCCAAAGTACATTTGCTCTTTTGTAGTTCTAGATATAAATTTAAAGTTGGGATTACCAAGTCTCCTGGTCTTTTTATCTTTTTGTGGTTCCTGTAGCCATGTGATTTTTATGCACAGAAAGTAGCAGTAAAGACAGGGCTAAGGGTATGGACTTCGATGCTCAGGAATCCGGGGCAAAAGAATGGACCCTTTCCAGGCACAAGCTGTGCAGCTTTGGATAAGCCACTTAACCTTTCTGAGCTTCAATTTTCTCACTGGGAAATACGGAAAATAATAATAGTTATTATGATAATACCTAGAGTAATGATTGCCACGAAGGTTCAGCTAATTAATGTAACAGTTCTTAGTCTAATAAGTAATAATACATGCTCAAAACTATTAGATTTATATTATTATCATTGTCATGATTTTAGTTTCCCTACCAATGGACTCCTCTGACAATCCTTTAATATTAAGCCAACATAGCAATTTCTTCTAAGTCATATGTGACCCCAAGTCTACTACTTGCATACGGGAGCTGTTACACAAGAGGAAGGCAGGAAAAGAATACTATTCCAAAATTAGTCAGACATTTATGTATGTTGACTGTAAACTATAACTTCTCTGGAGAAGGCAGGCTTTGTCTCTCTTATTTGCAACTCATTTGACCCCCAACTAGGGGACCTCTGATGTGTGTGTATCAAGGGCAAAGACAACAGGGCCACTACACTAAGGACAGTGGGAAAAGAAAAGAGGTTAAGGGCTCTTCCTTGCCTCAACAGAGTACTCTTCAAATTGGTTTCCTTTAGGGCTTATTTTTTCTTTGGAATAGCTTCCTTTTTTTTTTTTTTTTCCCTCCTTCAAAGTCCTCTTCACTCCCAAGCCACAGCTGAGAGCTTTAAAGTTGTCTCCTGTTCAGGAAGAGCCTTCTGAAATGGGAAGGTGTTGAAACACTGGGATGAGATCCATTGGAAAGGAATAAAGGAAACTCTGCTCTAGAAAGAAAGTCTTTTTCCCTTGGGTAGGGCTTTCATTTCGCTGTGTTGGTGTGGCTCAAGGACCAAAACCAAGGAAGAGAGACCAATGGGATCTGTCTTCCTCAGTCACCAAGTTGAAGGCCACAGAGGGTCCAGAAGCTCCAGAATTATGAATGCACTGGCTGAGAGGGTCTTTTCTGAAGCACCTCTTCTTCAGAAGTATCTGCTGCAGAATTCCAGGATTCAAATTCTGTTAGTATACTCCAGAGTATTGAGGAACAGAAGTGATGTTTCTCAACATTTTAAGTACCAAATGCCATTTAATTAAGCACTCCTTGGGAAGCCACATTTGACTGATATCTTGCTCCTTTAATTTTAATATTTCTACTGAGTTGACAGCACAGTCCTACCAATAAGACCTGTCATGTAAGGCCTATAATCAGTAAATAACCAAGGAATATAGAATCAAATAGGCACGATCGTTTCTTTTTTTACTTCCTTATAGTATCAATTTTGTGTTCATTTTTAAGTTTTAAAAATTAATATATTTAAAAATAAAGAAACCTATTTAAAATATATTTTATGCTATTATAATGTCTTTTGTTTATACAGGGGCTTATTATTTTTAAGGTATTCACACATATATTATGGAATTAAGACAATAATCATACCTAGTTTATTGTTATCTCAATTTAACAGATAAATAAACTGACAGAGAGGCTGTATCTTGTGTAAGGCCCCAAAGTTAAAGAGGGACAGAAGTAGGAAATAAGCCCAGATGCCCTAAAACTGAGTTTTAGATCTCTTTCACCTCATTGCTGTTGACTTTCTGTTATGTTATCAAAGCAGAGAGGAATTTGGTATCCCAATGGCTTTTAACTTATTTTTATCACTGACTTCATTCCTCAAATGAAATGTCATGCTTAAACCAGATGCATGTGATGAATAAAAGTGGGTGGTAGACCATCTGCTTGATTCCCCCCACCGCCACACCACCTCCATCTTGGAGAGGTCTCTGAGGAACTACCACTAAATCCAAAGGGCTTCTCAGAGTACAGTTTGAAGACACTTAGCATCTAGATATGTCTCATCCCCTCTGGGCATAATCACAAGTGGGTACTACTGGTTACACAGTTTTTTGGG